CTGTTTCTCTTTCTATGGTTTTAGTTATCTTGAGTGAATTGGGGTCCAGAAATGTCAAATGTTAAATTCTAGAAGCAATAAGTAATATACCTAAAATTATACAACAGTCTGAGTAGCATGTCAAATTTTTGTTCAAATATGTCCACCCAAGGGCATGAGCCAACTTTTCATTCAGTGTATCAATGGTGTATAAACTACCTGCTTGTTAGTTACTTACACATCTTGGTTATTGGAATGGCAGTCAGGGTATCACAATGCTTATGTTCAAGTAAGCTTTATTTTGTTGTATACATCTATATAATATATCACATTATATTTGTCAGAGTTCTTTAGAGGAAGAGAAATTATAGAATGCACACACACACACACACACACACACACACACACACACACACAAGACATATTAGAATGGCTCACAGGCTATGGTCTAGCTAGTCCAACAATGGCTAATTACCAACAGAAGGTCCAAGATTCCAAAAGTTGTTCAGTCCATGAGGTTGGATTTCTGAGCTGTTCTTCAGTATATGCCAGAGTCCCAGTGAAACAGGTTCTAATGCCAATGAAGGAATAGACTTGATAGAAAAATCAAGAGCAAGCAGAGAGGGGGGGGGTGTTCTTTCTTCTATGTCTTTTATATAGGCTGCTAGCAGAAGGTGTAACCCAGATTAAATGTGGATCTTTCTACCTCAAAGGACTGAGTTAGAAGTGAATCTTCTCACTTCAAATGATTTAATGAAGAAAAAACCCTCATAGGTGTGCCCAGCCATTTGGGTTTTAATTAATTCCAGACACAGTCAAACTGACAACCAAGAATAGCCATCACACATATTTTTATTTTACATTGCGTGTGTGTTTGTGTGTGTGTGTTTGTGTGTGTATGTATGTATATATGTATGTATGTGGTTCTTTACTATCAGTGGCCTCAAGAGTCTTGAAACACCCTCACAGATGAAGTACTCTATACCAATCAGGCTCTTTTATGAATCACTTTATCAGAGTATGTATGAACTAATTATCTTTAAGCATTGCATAAGTTACTTAATAATACAATTCTAAAAAGCTGATTATAGTTTTGAACATGGGAATTTGGATGCCTGTGCCCTGTTACCTCTCAGTACTCCAGTTTCACCTTCATTATTTACCATGAATTTGAATCTCAGGTTAAGTGGCCTACACAGATCAAGTACAATTCTTTTTACAGCAAAGACCAGTATCTTGCACAAGGAACCCAATGGTTAAAAATATGCCTAGAATATGGATGCATGCAGTGGTTTTAAAATGTTTTGTTTTATTTAAAATTTCGAAGTCCATATTTGTGTATTTTCTTTTCTACCTGTGCACCACCAACCGCCCCCCCCTCCCTGTTTTCAGGTTGGCAGGGAGGTCAGAGGTGTAAATCAGATCCCTTGGAACTGGAGACACAGGCCATTGTGAACTGCTAGGAATAGATGTTCCTCTGCAAGGGTAGCAAGTGCTCTTAACCTCTAAGCTCTCCTTCTTCACTGTGTTCTGATCCTCATGATGACATCAAAATTATCCAGCAACGCACTGCTTTCCTAGTTAGATTTAGACTGGAAATGATAAAACATCAAATGTTTCCTTATCAAAATGTTTTTAAAATGGAACATAATAAAGCCCCTTTGTCCAGCATGAGTTAATGATCTGAGATTCATAAGTCCAAGCACATATTGTGTTTGTTTCATGTATGTTCTTGGATCTCTGGTATATTTCCTCTTACGCATTTACTAGCATTTGCAACTTAAAATCCTACTAAGAACTGTGTTCATAAGAAGGTAAATTGAAGAAAAGTCTAAGCTCTGAGTTAACATAATACAACCCTTGAGTGATTCACCAATTTGGATTGTATCCTCAGGATGTAAAATTGTGTGTGTGTGTGTGTGTGTGTGTGTGTGTGTGTGTGTGTGTGTGTGCGCACACGTGTGCATGCACACTCATGTATGTATGTGTTTGCATGTATGTGTGTGTATGAATGCATATCTTTCTGAGAAGTGGACACTTGACATTGGTTGCTTCTTGCTTTCATTATTGTTTTAGCCTAGGGACTAATTTATAAGAACTCATAAGCCTTGAACAGATGGGATCTGGGTGCTTCAGGAAACAAGTAGCTTCGAGGCTTGCTCAGAGTAAATGGCTACAGTTCAGAGCAGGAATGACCTGTTAGAAGGCAGCATTGGAACTGACTCATTACCTCTGAGCCCTTTCAATATTGAGATGTTTGAAAGGGGATCAATCATCACCACACACCCTAAATTTGTTGAAGAAATGATTGTGTGATAGTAACTGAGTCTCAGTTCTCAGTATGGCAGAGAGGTCCTTCTTAAACCAGAGAATGACAGTCATCCTGACTTCCTAACTCCACAGTTTTTAAAAGCCTGGAATTCCTTCTCTTATTCATGTAATCCACATGCCTCATTCATTGAGAATTTGGCAGGAAATCCCACTTAAAAGCACAATCCCGAGATGGGCATGGTGTTGCCCGTCTCTAATTCAGCTACTTCAGCAGAAGAGGCAGGAGATGGCTTTAAGCTTAAGACCCAAGCAGATCTACATAGTGGATTTCAGGCTAGCCGGGACTACATAGTGGAAACCTCTCTGAAAAACAAGCACATAAACAAACAGACAAAAACAGAACAAGAACAAGATGCTGAAGACTTACATGTACATATATGTTTTAATAACTAAAACATTAACATATATGAAATAAAGACTTCTGTGAAGTGGTCCTGGAGGAGACGGCAGTTTTTTTGAAACATGAAAAATGAGTTAGTTATGATTGCTTGTGGGATGATTTTGCTGAAGGACAACAAAATCAGAAAAAGTGCTGGTCTTCCTAGTAATTGCCACATTTCTTCTCTTGGCCACCCAATTTGACTGGTGACCATGAGTGCTAGGAATTTTGTTTCCTTGAAAATAATGACTGAGTTTACTCCATTTTGTGGAAGAAAGCTATTAAATAAATAGCATATGCGATCTGATCAATATATTTTTATGAGAAGATTCGGTATCTATATATACATACATTACTAATCTGAAAAAAATAACTTGTCTAATTTTAAATCACACTTTGATTCTAAAATAAAAGGGTATGTGTGAATAAAGAAGCTGGATGACTTTATTTAAGCCCCTCAGCCTCTGGGAGGATACCCCTGCCTCCACATACCAGGCTACTTATGTTTTAATTGCTCAAAGAACATGTCTGATATTGTTAATGTACTTAGGAAGGGTATAAGTCTTGAGTATTTGTGTTTGAATACATTTTGACAAAGAGGTCTTCATAGAGGAAAATATTTTGAAAACACGATGGAATTTGGAAGAATAAGAACAGGATGGACCACCTATGTGATGGAGGAGGGCCAGCATAAGAAGAGGAGGCTAGGTCCTGGGAGGTACTTCAGTCTATGCTTGCCATTTAAGCATGGAGACCTCATTTTGATTCCCAGAACCCATAGAAAGTGCCAAGCATGGTGGTCCGTTCTTGCAGTTCCAATGCTGGAGAGATAGAGAAATGAGGATCCTTGGTCTTTCTGACCAGCTAGTCTAAAGGACGAGTCCAGGACCATTGAGAAATTGTCTCAAGGTCTCAAAGGTATATATACTGTGCCTGGGAACCAAAATCTGAGGTTTTCTTCTATCCTCCACATGTAAACACAAATGTGTATCTAAACATCACACACACACACACACACACACACACATACACACACTGAAGAGGTCAGAGTATCCACAACTATTTGTGTTGCTGGAAAGGAAGAATACTACTGTTCTATGGCAGCCTTAATATACAGGAGTCTGGAAAAATAATCTTGAATGGCAGACAGATTTTTAAAATAAGATCTGAGGGGAAATGAAGTTACAGTAGTAGAGAAGTTTCTTCTAGTTCTGCTGCTTCTTGGGGGGCGGGCAGGATGTACCATCACATTTCAAATCCCTGACTTCCGCTTTTGAGTTCGACAATGCTTCTGTGTTTTCTTAAGACTTCCCAGAAGTGAACAGGCAGTACTGGAAAAAGGAAGTTAAACAATGATTTGCTCAATTTGAAAGCAACATCCCTACATCACATGAGCTTAAAGCTTTCCCAAATGAAACACTCCTGACTTACACCCCCCCCCCCACTTTCCAAATAAATTCACCCAGAGGGACAGCCAATTCTTTATTTACTATTGGCTGGCTTTTTACTAAAGTGGTGATTAGGTTTCTCAGGAGAGATTGCTATCTGTGCTATTGGCTATGGAGGGCTTCTTCAAACCAGTAACCGGTTAGGTAAACAGTGACCTCACCCTGTTGTGTTGTCTTCCTCTCAGTACATTTTAACATAGAGGTAAGGTCAGGTGACTTGATCCATTTTGCTTTTTATAGTTTGTCCCTTATGGATCATTCTTAGAAAAATTGGATTGTTTTTTGACACTTCGTTTTTTACTGTTATTACAGTAAAAGCTATTGCTGCTGCTTAAATGAGAGACCAGAAAGAAGGTGGGAAGTTACTGAAGGTCTCACATGAGCATGTGCCCCGCCCCCCCAGGCCCCTTTAACATTTTCTCTTGATTATGAAACACTTTTAAAATTCTTCTGCACATTATTTTGGTGGGTCACAAGAAAAATAGGTCTTGGGAGTTGTTGAGCGTTCAGGACTACCAAACTTGGCATTCCTCAGTGGTTACTCAATTTGGAAATATCTCAGTTGAGTTAAACTTCAACCAGCCCCAGTGACTAGTTTATACACCGTAAAACTTTGTGGAGTATTTTGTATCAGCAAATACCACCAGCCCAGAACCCTGGAGCCTGCATTGCCTTTGTTATTCAGACATAACAGGGTGTTTTTATCTCTTAAGTATTTCAGACATGTTCCTCTGATTTGAAGGTTTTGCATATTACCCAAGGACTTTTGTATCTAAACTATGTTAAAGACACATAGAAAAGGAATGACGTCATGGCTTTTGTCAGCTGGGCTTTGTGTTTAGCTAACGCCGGTGAGTCATAGTCTTGTGACCAGCCAGGCACCTTTCCAAGCAGAGGCTGTTAAGTTCGTTGACAACAGAACCTGTAGATGTTTTGAAGAGGAGATTTCAACAAGGGACCTGCCTGCTTGGTCATACCAGGTTCTGTGGGGAGGAAACAGAAATGTTCTTAGTTGGGATGAATAACAAAACACCAACCAGGAGACTGGAGTTAGCAAAGCTGACTCACTTCCTGGTTTCCAGATGAAAGGAGTTGTCCAAGAAATGACTCTCACAAGGAAATACTTCCCCTGCTTGACTAGCTGTGTCTTTTTCAAGCACCGCTGATTATCACAATGGCTTGTCAGTAGTTTGGTTTGTTGAAAAGTAAAATTTAATTATGAAATAATTCTGTGCTTTTAGAGGCAGCTCCCTCAGTCTGTGAGAATTGCTGACTTCAGATACCCCTCAGAAGAAATGGCTGTATTGCATAAACATGTGTCCTGAGGACTGAACTCCCCGCCCCCATTTAGTGAAGTATGGCACTAATGTAGGTTCCCTTATTATTGTTTTAAGAAAGCAAGACTTATTTGGCAATAATGTATTGCTAACCTGTAGTATTTTTATCTGGGAGTCTCAACTGTGTGTTTCCTAAACACAGGCCACCTGGAGGACGAACACAGACCAAAAAGGCTGCTGGAGGAAGCTCAGAAGGGTGTGCTGGAGATACACTTACCATTGGTAGCCAGAGAGGGTAGAAGCACACAGAGCTGTGGAATTTTCAGTTATGTCATGTTGACAAACTGACTCAGCAGGAGGTGCCTACATGGGAAAGAGAGTCCATCTTCTCTGAAGCCCCCTCAAGGACATGATGGGAAAATCAGGAAACTTCTGCCTCCCTGACTTGCTGGGATTTGCTGTATTCCCCTGGGCACTGATCAGGCTGCATTCCTCAAGGCAAGTTGGGAACATATTTATTAAAAAAAAAAAAAAAAATTACAGGAAGCCAAACATGTGGAAAGAAAAATATCAAATCAGTTTCTTTGATAACCATCAAAAGGCACAGCTAGTTTCCTTCTAACCTCATTGTTTGTTGTTATTGTTTGTATTGTTTTGTTCTCTTGAAACAGGGTCTGAACACCCCACAATGACCAGGCTGAAATTCACAGAGATCTGTCTGCCTCTGCCCTCCCCCACACCTATTCCAGTGCTGGGATTGAAGCCATATCCCCATACTGAGCCTAAACTCCATTGTAATGGCACTTCAAGAAAGTGGGACTAGAGTTCTATAAATAAGAATTCCCCACATTCATTCATTTCTAAAGCACTCACTGCCCCTCTTTGACTCTCTCCCTACTTGGTATGTCTGCTTCTGAATTCTCCTATAATTCTAATAGTTGTACAACTCTTGATATTGAGAAATCACAAATTGTGAAACATATTAAACAGGGCACATTCAAAAATAACCGTCCTTCCTGCTGTTTGGGTAAAACCACTTGCTTGTTTGGGGTTGCTAATGGGAATAAGTGAGTATGTGTGATTACCTCCTGAGCCAGCTTGTTTGCTCAGAGGGAAAATTCATGGAACAGCCACAGGCTGCATTCCAGAACATTAGCCAACCACTCTGCAGACTTCTGCAGCTGGGTCCTAGAACCATCTGCTAACAAGACAGAGAGGCAATGTCTGTAAGGCAGAGGTCAATTTACTTTACTACAGGTCAATTCAAGCTTTAATTAACTGGTCTTGCTTTCTTCATTTGTTATTTTTGAGCCAGTCTTGTTTTGTACCTCAGGCTTGCCTCAAAGTCATTATGTAGCCTAGGCTGGTATCAACCTCCTAAATGCTTGGGATGGTAAGAGTATATCTTTATGCATGGCAACAGGACTTTTGTTTGCTTGTTGAGACAGGCTCCTGTGTAGTGCAGGATGGCCTCATTCTCACTGTGCAGCCCAGGATGACCTTGAGCTTCTAAGCCCTTTTCCTTCACCTTCCCAGTGCAGAGATTACAGTGTTACCATGCCTGGTTTATGCCATGCTGGGGTTAGAACACAGGGCATTGTAAATGCTTGGCAAGCATTCAACAGAGCTTCATTCCTAGCCTTCAACAAGACGTTTCATAAATGATTCCTTATTGCTCCTAGATTCTTGATAGAAATTTCGCTCCTGATAATTTTAGTTTCTGGAAATTTATAGAAGTTTCTTTTTCTTTTTTCTCTTTCTTTTCTTTTTTTTTTTTTGTTTTTTGTTTTTTGTTTTTCAAGACAGGGTTTCTCTGTGTAGCTTTGGGGCCTATCCTGGCACTCGCTCTGGAGACCAGGCTGGCCTCGAACTCACAGTGATCTGCCTGCCTCTGCCTCCTGAGTGCTGGGATTAAAGGCATGCGCCACCAATGCCCCGCTTCTTTTCTTTTTTTAAGAAAATACTCCTGTGGTTGGAGAGCTGAGTCATGGTTAAAAGCATCACTGTTCTTCCAGAGGACACAGGTTCAATTCCCAGCCATGTATGGTAGATTTCAACTGACTATAACTCCAACTCTATGGGACCCAATACCCTATTCTGGTCTCTCTCTGTGTTGGGGTGTATGTATATGCATATAAGTCATTTTTAAAAATACAATTAAGAAAGTACTTCTATGCTTAACAATTGATTCTACCAGTGAACCTGAATCTGAATGTTATGTTGCAGGACAGTGGTTGAGGAATAATTGCAAATATAACAGAGCCCAGAATATGCTGCTTCTTGTTTTCTTTAATAGCTCCGAGACAGTGGTATGGCTCCACAGTTGGAATCTGAAAGTCTCATTGATCATCAGTGAATGCAGTAGCTGGGATCACAGGAGAATGCTGCCCCTGTTTACCTCTCACAGAGCTGTTTATAAATTGGACACCTGTAATTAGATCTGCCTTACACAGGGAGCATTAGGAGGAAAAACAGTCTCTTGATTAGCTCTGATGAAGACTCAAAATTCATACCCTGAGGTGCTCACCCCTACTTATCTGTAGCTGGAAATGAAGTCTTTGGGAAGACAGCAAAATAAAGTTCAAATGCAGTTGTAAAAATGAAGCCTTTATCCAATAGGACTTGGGTCCACCAAATGGCTCTCCTCCTCCTTGTAAACAGAGGGAAGGCCTTGTGAGGAAGAGAAGACATCTACCCTGTTAGCAACTTGACTCTGGATATCAACAATCTAGAACTCTGAGAAAATAAGTTTCCGTTGAGGCAGGCAAGCAAGGAGGCATATAATACCCTGGTGTCTCCATTAGATTTTGGGGTTATATGTTCCCTTCTCCCACAATAAAGCCCTTGACAGACTAGTATCTTCACCCACAGCTATTCCGAATATGCACCCCTCTCCAAACAATGCACCTAGCAAACTCAGAGCCCCTCAAACCCACATATGCGTTCGTCTCTAAACCAGTGGTTCTCAACGTTCCTAATGCTATGACCCTTTCCTTGCAGTTCCTCGTGTTGTGGTGACCCCAACCATAAAATTATTTTTGTTGCTACTTCATAAGTGTAATTTTGCTACTGTTATGGATTGTAATGTAAACCTCTGTGCTTTCTGATGTTCTCAGGTGACCCCTGTGAAAAGGTCAATTTACCCCAAAGGAGTTGTGACTCACAGGTTGAGAACCAACTCTAAGTGTTCCCATCTTTGAACAATGATATGCCTTTTCCATCCCTGGTAGCAATCAAATTTATACAGTTTCTGATTAAGTATATTCCTGACACATCTGGGTATAAAGAGTAGATGGGCCTGAACTGGTTTGTGTGCATGTGCAGCAAAGCAAAATTGTGTCCTCTAATAACTTTCTGGGGAGAACCCTGTTTATCATCTTATGCCTAGGTATAACTGGGAGTGCACATGATTTAAATCGGGGTCTACATAACAGTAGAGCAATGGTTATGTAATCCATCAGTCAAAATAAAGAGCTATCTAAGCTGGGCGTTGGTGGCACATGCCTTTATTTCCAGCACTCTGGAGGCAGAGGCAGGTGGATCTCTGTGAGTTTGAGACCAGCCTAGTCTACAAGAGCTAGTTCCAGGACAGTCTCCAAAGCCACAGAGAAACCCTGTCTCAAACAACCAAAAAAAAAAAAAAAAAAAAAAAAAGACTCATCTAAACTAAAACTATGTCCTTGTCCTTTTGAAACTGGCTGCTCTTTCTCTCAGACCCCATAAATAAAGACCCTAGGCTATATGTATCTTGCTTGGGTTTTTGAGTATTTTCCTGTATGTGGTTCACTGTCAATCAATCATGATAGTTACCTCTCTTTCATCTGTACTGTTACTTTGCTCCACATGAAATTATCTTGCTTTAATAGGAAGACTTGGTGGACTTTGCAGAGCCCCAGTTGAGGGCACTACCCTGCCTGGGGAGTGGTGGGTGGATGGGGTGGGGGGTAGACTGAGGGTGGGGGAGGAGGGTGGGGGGTGAGAGGAGGGAGAGGGAGAAGGGACTTGAAATAAGCTTGTTCCCTAACTAGAACTAATAAAATAATAAAATAAGAAATTATCTTGCTTTAAAAAAAATCTATGTTATCTTGTATTTTGAAGTTAATTTTAAGAGGCTAAACACCCCAAAACACTGGGACCTCCTCTAACAGAGTCACACCTTGCTTTGCCATTGTGTTCTAGCATCTTTACTAGGGTAGCCTCTTCAACTCGTTTAACTCTTCTTCCTCCTTGAGGCTCTTGTATGCTTTTCCTTCTCTGCCCGAGTGAAGAGAAGCAGTTAGCAGATAACACCAAGGATGTATTGCTTGTAACTCCTTTAAGTCTTAACAAAATAATTTGCCAGTGTGTACTTGAGTGCTGCAAGACTTTCTTATGGTTTGGTTTCAGAATCAGCAGGGAAAATAAGAATTATGCATAACATCCTGGCTATTTTGAGATAGGTGAGTGATGTTTATTTTTCTTCTGAATGCTCTGACTAATTATCTCAGATCTGACCTTCAACTTTCAAATCAACATAAAATGGAATACTGACCTTGGGATTCTACAAGGATCTCTTTAATTTTCCTCAAATGGAAGGTGTTTATTAACCTAGAACTCAAATCCCATCAAACTCTAACATTTGACTAGCCTTCTTCATCATGCCCTCTTTATTTATAATAGTTTAATCTCTTCATAATAAAAATGGAAAAACAAAGCTATCGAAACAGAGGATTCCTCTGAACTTTAACAAATCTCCTTTTCTCAGACTGGAATATATTTTAGGGGATAAACAACATTCTTTTATTCTGGCCTCAAGATTTAATTTGTGATGGGATTTTCAAGTGAAGGCCATACTTAATAAGAGACTTGGGATGTAGTTCAGTTGTCAGAGTACCTGCCTAACAATCACAAAGCCCTGGGTTCAATTCCCAATATGTAGTCATCCAGGGTTGGTAGCACATGCCTAACATTCTAGCATCCGGGAGATGGAAGCAGGGAAGTTTAAAGTTCAAGGTTGTTTTGTCTGCAGAGTTTGAGGACAGTTGGGGATACATGGGATTTTTATTTCATAAAAGGGTAATAATTAAATATTATCGGCAAATAAAGGTTATGTGGACTAATAATGCAAGAGATTAATTAACACCTGGTAATTGTGCTCCCAGAAAGGCTTTGTCTATTGTAGAACAATTCAAAGAACTTTTAACTTGTATTTCTGATAAAAAATGCCCTGTGCGTTTAAATAAAGGCTCTTCCTGGAGGCAACTGAATCATGAATTACTGTTTCTACTAAACTGTAAAAGCATGTGTTGGTTCACACTATGCATATGGACATTTTAGGCTAATTTAACATTTAATGTTGAGAAATTTATTGTGCACATTATTATCTACTTGATCTGAATTTTGCAAAGATACTTAATTTTGTTTGTTATCGTTTTAGTAAGCAATAACATGGGATTGGAAAAGCTTGACGACAGACAGCTTAGTCAGCTAGGAGACCTTTTATCATTGAGCTGAGGAC